AAAAAAAAAAAAAAAAAAAAAAAAAAGACGGGGGTGCCGCCGCGCGCATGCGCGTTCGACGCGGGGACGGGTGGTCGCGGACCGCGCAGCGCCGAGCACATGGCGGGGCCGCCCCGCCTGGCCCTGGCCGAGGTCCGGGCGGCGGAGGAACGGCTCCGGGGCCGGCTGCACCGCACGCCGCTGCTCACCAGCGGGAGCCTGGACCGCCTGGCCGGACGACGGCTGCTCTTCAAGTGCGAGCTCTTCCAGAGGACCGGCTCCTTCAAGGTGCGCGGGGATGGCGGCACTGAGTGTCCCTCGGCCAGCTTGGGGGCAAAGGTCGCTTCTCGCACCGGAGGAACTCGCTTTCCGCCGACACTTTCCAGCCTTCGAAGCAGACGTGGCTCCTGCTGACCCGCGTGGGGGCTGACGCGCTTCCCAAGGCACAGGGGAGGCTGCAGGGAAGGAGATTCCCCACCTGCCCGCAGAGCCCAACATGCCGGCTCCCAGGCACAGCGGCACTGAGGGTGCTGTGCTCTCCTTCCAGATCCGGGGTGCCCTGAACGCAGTCAGGAACCTCGTTGAGGAGAGCAAACGCGCTGGAGGGGGGCTGCCTCGGGCCGTCGTGACGCACAGCAGTGGGAATCACGGGCAGGCGCTCGCCTGTGCTGCCCAGGCAGAAGGTAATGCATGTGCCGACCTCCAGCCCCAGCTCAGAGAACAGCCAGGCAGCAGGCAGAGAGCCAGGGGTAAACGCAGAGCTGGTAAATGCAGCTCCAAGCACCCAGCTCTGACACCCCTGGAGATAAGCAGCAGTATCCCTCTCCTGAACGCATGCAGGAGCTACCATAGGCAAGGCATGGCTGGCTCCTGCAGCACTAACTGGCTGGTTGCAGCTTTTTGGCTGTCAGATTTGCTTCCTCTTTCATCACACAGGGATTCCCGCCTATATCGTGGTGCCCCGGACAGCCCCACACTGTAAGCAAGCTGCCATCCTCACCTATGGTGCAACACTGGTGCCATGCGAGCCCAATGACAAGGTATGTCACAGGGAAGACTGGCTCGGGACACAGCACAGCTGGACTGAGAGGCAACCATCTGCGCTTTCCATTAGTCCAGAGCAGAGACAGCGTCTCGCGTAGTCCAGGAGACAGGAGGAGTCATGGTGCACCCCAACCAGGAGCCGGTGGTGATTGCAGGGCAAGGCACAATCGCCCTGGAGGTACTGGAGCAGGTGAGGGAAATGCACAGCCCGGACCCGGCCCAGGGCTCTGCTCCTTGTAGGCAGGAGCACAGCAAAAAGGGGTACCTGAGGTGCCAGAAGCAGTCACGCTTCCTTTCTGCACAGGCACCCGAGGTAAATGCAATAGTGGCTCCCGTTGGAGGTGGAGGAATGATTGCAGGAATAGCAGTTGCCATCAAGGTAGGCAACAGCTCATCTGGGAAGTGGTGGCTACATCTCCCCATGGGAAGTGCAGGGCTCCCAAGACAGACAGCAGCTTTTCTCTTTAGAAACGGAGACACCCTGTTATGAAAATCTCTGGGTACCCAGGGTTTGCATGGCAGCAGCATGGCCTACTCGGCCCCCTGCATGTGCAACAACAGCAGACAGGCACACACTAGTTTCAACTGAGCAGCTCCTCCTGCTCTCCGCAGGCTTTGAGACCAGATGTGAAAGTGTTTGCTGCTGAGCCACGCAACGCAGATGACTGTTACCAGTCCAAGGTAAGAGGGGAACTGACCCCCAACCTTCACCCGCCGGATACCATCGCAGATGCAGTTAAAACCAGCATTGGACCAAACACATGGCCCATCATCAGGGATTTGGTTGATGATGTCCTGACAGTCTCAGAGGAAGAAATCAAGGTAAACGCTCCCAGCTCCCTTCTCACGGTAGCTGCCAGCAGGCAGCTGCCTCCATCCGCGCTCTGCCCCTCCACTCTCACCCCTACACTCTCCCAGGGCAGCACAAGCCCCTGCACACCACCGCAGCTGTTCAACACCCACACTGTCTCCAGCTGGAGAGGGCTGGCGGAAGCTCTGCTCTCCCTTCCCAGAGTGCTGCAGAGATGTGCACATGCAGTGCCCTCCGCAGCCCTGGAGCAGCCTGTACTTGCTGCTGGGATGACAGCTGCTTCTCTGTCCCGACAGCGAGCCACGCGGCTGGTGTGGGAAAGGATGAAGCTGCTGATTGAGCCAACAGCAGGCGTGGGAGTGGCAGCCGTGCTCTCGGAGCAGTTCCAGGCAGTCCCCCGGGATGTGGAGAACGTTTGCATCGTGCTGTGCGGGGGAAACGTGGACCTGAGCTCCCTGACCTGGCTCACAGACCTCCCTGGGAAAGTGGAATGAGAACGGAGTGGTGTCTCAAGTGACAGAAACCTCACTCTGAATTTGTACAGTCTGGTTTGTGCGCTACTAAAAAACAGATAAACAACCCCAAACATTTGAAAGTTTTTGTGGAGGGATAAGGGAAGCTGGCCTCAGTCTCTACAGCATAGAGCTGCTTGGTTCCACAATAAAGGGTTGCTACTGGGGGGGCCTGGAAACAAAGCACTGCCTGTTCTCTGCTCCTCAGCTGCCCTGCTCTGGGACAGGCCTCCAGTGAGCTAGGGTCAGTCACTCTCCCCAGCTGCTACTTCACCTTTCTTTCTCAGCATCACAATAACTTCCAGCAAACTCCTGTCCTTGATACAGCAAAATCCCTGCATGCACCACTGTGGCAGGGCACAAGGGAAAGACAACAGCCCCAGTGGGCCAAGAGGTTCACCAGACAAAGGGTGCACACAGCCTCCCCATTTGGCTGCCTCAGCTGGCCTCCACCAAGACACAGGCACTTAGATGTTTTTTAAAACATTTTCCATTAAAATAAATAGCTGTAGCTGGTACCTGAGCAGCAGCTGGTGAGACAGCCGCCCCTGTACAGACCCCAGCAGTAATACGTCCAAGACATCAGTGCTGTCCTTGCTGTGCACGGGCTGAGAACAGCATCCGGGGAGCTAAGGCACAAACTGCATTAGCCATGCTGGAGACTTATTCCATTTCCACCTCCTGCACCGGCAGCACACTCTCACTCCTCACCCACGGCATGGGCTCTGGAACATGGGGATCATAAGTCCATTTAGGAAAAACGCGCTTGTAGAGGTTCAGCAGCACCGTATCCTGGGACTTCAGCTGTCCATCAAAGTGGCACTTCATGTGACCATGGGTCCCTAAGCAGAGAGCAGAAGAGGCCATTAGCTGTCCCTCCTGCCCAGGATGACCACATCCTGCTCAGCATCACAGAGAGAAATAACCAAATCAAACCTACCTAATGGCTCCTTAATGTGTCCTCTACGACCCCATTTTGTCCTGAGCTCCACTGGCTTAAACCACATCACATCCTCTGGAGATCAAAACACAAAAGGCAGGTAAGAAACAAGCTTCACTGCACCAACACAACTGCTCCCGCAGGGGCAGGAGTTCTGCTTCCACATCCCCTCTTCCCACCACAGAGATGAGCCGACCCATACCTCTGTTAAAGAACATGTATCGCACGACAGCCGTCTTGGTAAAGATCTTGAAAGGATGGCCACTGAGCACCAGCCGCTTGACAACAATTCTGTCTGGGTCCACAGAAAGCAGAGAACCCGTGGCGATGAGGTCGTGCATTCCTGCAAGGCAGAGTCACTTAAAGTACCAGGGCAGCACCACAGAAGGTGCCTCCATCAACTCCTCCCCCACCACAACCCCCTTCTCCAAATGGTTCCAGGCCCAGAGGCACACCACAGCAGGGACGGACAAAGGTGCCAATGATACTGGGGATGGAAATGCATTCATATTCTCAAACAGCATGAAGGGGACAGCTTTTTCAAGTCATACTTTCTGAATAGATGCACTTGTAAGTGGGGTATGGGAACAGCCTCCTAACGTTTGTTTCCCAGACACCACCTCCTCAGCACTTATCAACTTACCGTTACTTCTCTGTTTAAAAAGCAGCACTGAGGCAGGAGGGAAAGTGATGGGAGCATAAACAGTCACCACCAGGGCAGCATCTGGGCGCAGGAAACGCTCCAGCTTGTGCTTATCAGCTAGGACAGAACAACAACAATCAAGTTTAGGCCAACAGCAGTCCTCGGAGCTCCAGGAAACCCCACTGAGCCCATTCTTCCCTGGCAAACAGGCTCTGTGCTTTAGGAAAACAGATGACAAACACCCCTCCTCCGCTGGCGCAGAGGATCTGGGAACAACGGTGATCCTCTGAGCTACCAGCTCACTGCATGGAGCCTGCCACCACCTTGCCTGGACCAGTGAGCCACCTTGCCCAAGCCCTTCCACTCCTCACTGCTTAGTGCCTCCCCTGGAAGCCTCAGAGCCTAGTGAGTCTTCAGAAGAGTCCTTCAGCCAGGTTCAGACACCACGGCTAAGACATCACAGGCTTCCTGCCCTAGAAACCCCAGCCCCACCTCCTGGCATACCTGTGCCCACCCCACCGGTCCCTCACAAACCTGAGGTGTGCTGGGAGAACAAGGGGGATGCTCGGAAGCGTCTGAACCCACAGTGAAAGATCAGTTCCTCCTTTGCCCTCACTGGCTCGCTGTTGCTTGGATGCCGACGCACCAGGAAATTCAACACGGACATCTGCAAAAGAGGCAGCACTGTGAGGGGCTGACAGCAGGGCTGGCCAGCGATGGTAGACAGAGTGGAAAGCAACAGGACATTGCAGCAGAGAATAATGACCTTGCTAATGGCTTCACAAAGGATCGCCAGTCACCAATGCAGACACCTCAGCTAGGCTCAGACACTCTAGCCTAAACACCTCTGGCACCTTCAGCCTGCTCTGACCAAAGGTAAGGTCCTACTTTGAAACACGAGCAATGAAGGGAGATTTCAGCCCAAACCCTCTGCAGGCAGAACCTCTCCAATCCTGCAGCCTGAGGGAATCGGACAAGGAGCTGCACACCTACAAGATATCAGCAGGGACATACTTAGTCACCTTTTGTTCATGGGGAAGTAGCGAGAACAGGACTAGGGGCTTCCCTTCTTTGAAGCTCTCCATCACTGAGACAGGGACATTGCAGACATGAAGCGTAACATACCAGCCAACCTGCCAAGAGAGGATCAGTTGTGAATACTTCTCTCAACAGAAAAGTGTCAGAAGTAACACACGCCTGGGTTAGAGAGGGAATCCAGGAGAACACTGTCATCTGAACTCATGGCTTCATGCTAAGAACCAGATCACCCAGCCACCTCCCTGACAAGTCTTTCCTATTAGGAGTAAAGGAACACAGTAGGGGAAGAGATCAGCAAGAGAAAAGGGAGCTACCAAGGCTCCTTCAGTCTCCTCTTTCTCTATTTGCCGGAAGAGGTGCTTTCTAGTTCGGGAGAAGTCCTGGAACTGGAAAATCCTGGCATAATCCCTTGGGAGATTCTCTTTGGGGTCCCATGGAGAAGTCCGGAAGCTCTTCAGCCCCCTGTACTTCTGGAACCTAGAGAACAGATAACAGAAAAGACAAAACTACTTCACCAATTGAGGTGTGCGCCCAGCACCTTCTGTGGTCTGCAAGGACTCGCACCTTCAGAGAGGGCAAAGCGAACAAAGCAAATGTTAGCTCTCAGAAAAGATCTTAGTGCAGAGCGAGCTAGAAACAGCAGCCAAGTCTCCAGACAACCTGCCCTTCCTTGTCGGCTCTGCCATCCCCCTCCCTCTCCCAGGTCAGGGCCCAGCTCTCCCTGCCGTAGGGAGCTGCCCAGGCCCACCCACCACCCCCCAACTAGTGCCTCCCCTGGAAGCCTCAGAGCCTAGGAATGAGTCTTCAGAAGAGTCCTTCAGCCAGGTTCAGACACCACGGCTAAGACATCACAGGCTTCCCACCCTATCTCACCAAACTAGACAGAAAGGTGCCTTCCAGCTGCTCTTAAAGCATTCTGTTTCTTACCGGACTCTGGCAGGCACATCACGTGGCGTGTCCACTTCATCTGGAAACATTTCATCCATTCTCTCCTGTTTGTATCTCTCCAGCATCTGTTCATCTTCTTCCACTTTCTCATCATACCGGTCATCCCGCAAGCACTCAGAAACAGTCATAGTCTCACACTCCTCCTCTGCAGGTTCCTCTTCCTCCTCGCTGCTTTCCCCCTCCTGACACACAGGACAGCACAGAGCCTGTGAGCACACGTGCTCTGTTGATGTCCATGCAGCACTGCAAACCCTGCGTGTACTCACGCAGCGTGAATTGTGACCCAAGTTACACCACAGTCCCTCATTTCAGTATCTAACACCCCAAAGAAGCAACATGATACATGAGAGATTTAACAATGGAAATCCAGGCAAGTCCTGGCTCTGTGTTGTGCCCTTGCACGGAGCAAGCCAGGACAGGATTGTCCTAGAATAGGCAATAATGCCCTGGAGATCACTTGCAATATCAGCTCTTGGAGGTACCTGGGAAACTGCCTCTTCCATCATATCATCATCAATATCATCCTCTTCATCATCATCATCATCTTTCTCACTGCCTTCTTCTCCATCATCCACAATCCAGGCAGCCTGGTACTTGGATGTGCCTTTGGGGACCTTCACCAGTCTCCTGTTTGCCTTCAGAGAAGCTGTAGATTCCCACCAATGGTTAATACAGGAATAATTCTCCTTTCCCTCAGCAACATTTACACCAGGACAGCCAAGATCAGCTCTAGACCAGAATTGCTGTTTCCCAGCACAGAATTTGCCAGGGCCCAGAAAAGGCAGCTAAAATGTAACCCTGCTAAATTGCCAGGCAAACCACTTACTCAGGTAATGGGACTAGGAATGGAAGCCCTGGGCTCCCAACTAGTGTGTTTCTTCACAGCCACCCTCTGCCATCCTGGTGATGGAGGGTTTCTAAAAACTATCTTAACAGGGACAAGGAAAAGGTCCAGAAGTATTGCTGCTACTCACCCTCTGCTTCTTGCAGTTCTTCTTCAGTAGGCCATGTCTGCTCCCCTTCCATAGGATCAGGAGCCACTTCTGACTGCAAAGATTCCTGCTTGTTTGGATCTGCCTTCATCAGGACCTTAACATCTTCCTCCATCTCATCAGTACCATTTACAGAGTCATCCTGAAGGGCAAGAGCAGAGTCCCCAGCTGTGAATACATCTAACTCAAGCCAGCAATCGGTCCAAAGCAAAACTCCCTTCAGTATCACATTTATTATGTTGTAATGTAACGTTTGTTATACGCTGTGGGCAAGGAATCTCAGCTCAGTGGCAGAACACAGGCTTACTGACTCTGATGCAGCTTCCTTTCCCCCTCATTGATCACATATACCCAGTTGTATTTTCCTGATTAAAGTTTACAAACATCATGTTCTAATGGGCCCAGCGAAGCCCTGACCTCCCACACACCTGTATCTCCATGTCCTGACTCCTCTTCTGTCCTTTAATCACTCGGGGGTTCAAAGAGAGGGGGTCGGGGGGAGC